TAATTAAAATAAATTATATCAAAAATCTTTTTTAAATGTAATTATTTTTTGTAAATGTAGGTATTTTTTTGTTATATTTGTTTAATTTTATAGATCTAAATATTTTTTTGTTTAAAAAATATTTAGAGACTTAATCGTTCAAAATATGAATGTTCATTGGGTTTTTTTCGGGGTTTTTTTTCACTCTTTTACCACATTAACTAGTTGTTCAAGTCATAAGAATGTATCGAACAAGTTTTAAAAAAGTCCAAGGAGTTATCTAACATGTTTTGGATTGTCCAATGACTTATTTGTTTAAAAAATTGTTCAATGAGTTATTTAACTTGTTTTAAATTGTCCAATGACTTATTTGTTCCAAAAAATTGTCCAAGAAGTTATTTAACATGTTTTGGAATGTCCAATGACTTATTTGTTCCAAAAAAATTGTCCAAAGACTTAATAATTCCAAACACTAAAGTCCATTGGGTTTTTTTAAACTTTTCCCAAATTTTTTATTAAAGTATTTTTAGTTTAAAAAATTTATAGTATTTAATAATTATTTTACTAAAGTATTTTTAGTTTTAAATAAATTAAAGTAATTAAGAATTATTATATTAAAGTATTTTTAGTTTAAAAACATGATTTATCAAAAAAGATATTTTAATCATTTATCAGAATTTCACTACAATTGCAAAGCTATATTCTGTGAACCAAACAGACAGATTTCAATTCCTTTAACATATTTCATTCTAATTATGTCAACCAAACAAGTGGTCAAACATAACAACATTTTATTCCAACTCCTTCAAAGTCAAATTTTTTGACAAATTTCATTCATCCAAAAATATTTTGCGAACCAAACTCCAGCTAAGGGTATGTTTGGTACACTTAACATGATAGAAAATATACTAGAATATAAATAAATGTTTTACGTTTGACATAACTTTTAGGTGGAACCGACAAAAACAAAATGGAACAAAATGAAATAGACTTATTTCACCCTACCCCATAGAACAAGGTGGAACAAGCCAGTATTTTTTTTTATCAATATATTCACAAAATAATACCTAATTAAATTTCTTCTCTTTTCCATTTCCATATTGTTGTTTTGACTTTACGGCATATTTCTATGCGAACCTCTAAGAAGTCTAAATGGATTGGACTTGAGTTAGCTGAAAAAAGACATACAACCTTCTTTTAAAAGATCAAATATATCACTCACTTTACATTTTAACTATTCCGTAAAATATTTATTTTATTATAATCTAATAAATTAATCAAAAGACCGAAAATATATACACAAATCATTAAAGAATAAATTGATCATTTTACCAGTCATATTATATACAATTTTGTCTTGCCAAATACCTATATACCAAAAAAGCCCTAAATATTAACTCGTACAAAATTATTCAAAAAAAGCTTCTTTCTAGTCATTTTTAACTCGTATATGAGTGCACATGAAAAATCTCTTAAATTAGTTTGGGTTTCTAAGAGCGCCTGATCAGGCCTTTTCAGCACAGCTTCCAGCTTGGGCTTTTTCTGCGCTAAAAGCCGTTTACCCGAATGCTCCTTGGTGCTTACTGTCATTTTTATCCGGTAAAATTTCCGGTTTTTGTCATGTTTATCCAATAAGCGCTTATTGGATAAGCGTTTGGTAAACGGCCTCTAATAAGAATCATCTACTAAATGGCCAAGAAGCTTGCAATAGTAAAACAACGAAAACACAACCAACATCAAAATAAACCTACTCGGAAAATGGGAACGATAACGTAAACTATACGTCTCATCCAAGTTTGCTCAACACTCGTCGAACAACGTTTTAATAAAGAACGAAGAACCCATACAAAAAACAAACTCACTCATCGATCGTGCCAGTGACAAATGACACGACAACAGTTATATCATCGAGTTTACCACCATGATAACGGAAACCAGCTTCCTGAGCTGCAGTAGAAAATGGGGACTGTCGTTTCCTGTCTAGAGCTTTCTGGCGTGCCAATGCCGCTATATTCTTAGCCATTGCCTCAGGGCCCAGCCTTGATCTAACCCCTTGAACCACAAGAGCTGTTACTTCATTGTTGTATAAGTTGTCAAATAATCCATCAGTTCCAGCAACAATAACATCACCCGGTAATACGGGAATATTGAAAACCTATTCGTGATCCAGAAAAAAGATACATAAAAACTCGTCAAAAAACCATTGTTTATCCAATGAAACTGTGTTGATGAAGGTTATGGAACTTACTTGGCCAGAACTTGGCTGATCACCTTCACTGTCGTTTGCTAGCTGATATGTAAAATTGAAATCATGTTGTTGTATAGGGGACTGGAAGATGGTGCATCCATCTCTGATCACGACGAATCCACTGTCTCCAAGATTGATGGCATGAAGAACCTGTTGTGAAAAGAAGCCGTTTAAATAGTTAAACACGAAAAACATAATCAGTCTGTGGTTGATCTGGTTATGGAAAGGAAGAGAGACTCGTTCACATAGAAAACAGTACTTGTGAGAATGAACGAGTGGCAAAACCAAAAACGATTCTTTGATAAATGATTCTTTTACAAGCATCAACTTCTCTAAGATGACAGGCACAAGAGAATTGACCGAATGCATTTAACAAGGAGAATTATTGAACAATGACAAAACCATGACACGCCATAACTATAAGAACATCAGATGTTCATCAGAAAGAAAATAACAATAACCATGAAACAATTATACAATACCAACAATAGAAGCAAAAGCATATAACAATAGCCAACAAAAGTAGTTATACAAACAACATAAGCAAATAGCAATAGCCAATATTAACAATCAAGCAGACAAGAGAAGCAAATACAAGAAGTGATGGCAAGCTCATGAGCTTAAAGGTTCAAGCTTAAAGTTGTAGTCCGTTGAATTGTCAACTGCACGAATGTAGTAAAGTACTCAAGCAAATAGAGATATAAAAACTATGGGCCTCTTTTATCTACTAATTTTCGTTGAAATACTACTGTATACTAAAAAACCGGGCCCCTATTTCCTGTAGGCCCTCCCGCCCCCAGGAATGGCCTTGGTGATAATCAAAAGCATGGAAAACACAAAAGAACCGACCTCAAAAGGAAAAGATGCATTATTAATGCAACTATAGCAACATATCAGGCACAACAATGTAATCCTTCTGCTAAGTGCAACAGGTCACAAATCTGAGAAATGAAACAAAGCCTATAGTGCCAAATGCCAAGGCATTTATTGGACCTAATCGTGTCAACCTTTTCCAGCATGTTGGATGACTGGGTGCTAAATGAAAGATGTTGCAAACCTTGTCTCTGAGGGCTATGATGCATGCTGTAGAGGATCCCTGGGCCTTTGTGGCTGAGTGAGCCTTAGCCAACACCCTAGCTGGGTCAATTCCTTCCTTAGGTTCAGCCTGTATTGCTGTCACAGAATTAGACATTAGAGAACGGGAATACAATCCAGCATTAACGCCAACATCTGCCCATCCACCAACTCCATCTGCTACACCAATTACTTGTTCATCCACACAAATGAAGTGAGCATCCTCTCCACCAGTTGCTTCCTTATCAGGATGTGGCAGATAAGAAGATCCAGATAGTAGCTTTAGCGTTCTATCACACATACCCTTCCTGAAGTTTCAAGCACAAAAGAATATAATAGTTGAGATCATCATTCTAACCAACACCAATGTATTTCATACGGACAACTAATATGTCAAAAATGTAGGCTGCTGATTTTAGATAGAGCTCTCTGAAAAAACAAGTAAAATAGTGCACCCAGCCACCGGCATCAACTAACTGAACAGTTAATAATCAGCCAAAGTTTTATACTTGCTTCATATAATTTTCTGTTGCATTAATTTGTTGTAACCGCATATTATAGAAGTTGCCTACTCCATCCAGTTTTAGAAAAAGGTGGTCTGTTTTTGTTGCATATTACCAAACTTCGTACCAATTAATTCCAAATACCTAACATGGTATTAACAATTTCTAAATGACATCTTTTTGCTAAAACACCTTTAAAGTTGACAAGGAAAAGAGGCATGAATAGATATCCTTTCCAGAATGTTGTATGGTTCTATCTAGGAGAAACACTAAACATCGCCTGCAAAGGTTTTTGCTCCAGAAATTATAACATTTTGATCCTTAAGCGTCCAATATTAAGTAAAAAGAACTGAATCATATAAAAATTTGTCCAACTAAAGGTTAAATCAAATATAGGTAGCCAACTTTCGTGTTTTAAAGTGCATCATGGCTTCGAATGTCTTGCCAAAATGCAGTTCATTGTTTCAATAGTGTTTCTTGTTGTATATAAATATCAAATAACCACCAAGTCGTGGTCATGCAGATGCAAATTTAGATATAACTACCATTATATAGTTCCATTTAGAATATAAAGAAATATAACAGAAAAGGTAACAAGTGCCAGAAGTGCATACCCATCTGCTTCAATGGCAAGACTTGAGATCATTTCATCATGTGATGATTCTTTCACTACCCCATCTGGAACTCCACTGTATGAATAACATGTTGAGGAGGAAGTGTTGCATCTTCTTCGCAATTGCCCCCCAAATGAATTAATGTTGCTTGCCGTGTGGGTAAAACCAAATATAAAATACCCATGAACTCCATGGCTCTTACTTGGTTCTCTATTTTTCATACCCACAGTAGCTGTAGAGAAACTCCTACTGTTTCTTTCCACCAAATGACCAGTAGGTCTTGCAAAATTCAATACATTTCCGCAACTTGAAACAAAATTGTCCACAATGAGATCCCCGGATGCAGCTACGGAACCAGAAGTGGCCATAATTTTTGGAAAATACAGATTCCTAGTATACTTAAAAACCTGAGCACTGCTAAACCTTGATACAAAGATACAAGAATGTAACTTAATAGCACCTGCAACTTGAAAATCTTTCCTCAAGTTCGCAAATTCACAATCTGGTTTCAAGATGAGGGCTTTTCCTGGTTTCGACGATGAATGTCCACTGATATCAGCTTTACAGAAACCTGAATGTTGGCGAAACAAAATCCTCTGCTGGACCTGGATTTTACTTTGCAATCTAACGCCTTTCCAAAGTCCAAAACCAAGAGGGATGTTCAACTTAGAAAAAGAACCAGTTGGCATTATTTTACTCCCTGAAACAGAACACCCTAATTTCAACACACAGCCAGTTGCTATGACCGTTGTGGGAGGTAATCATCATATATAGCTAAAAGCATTTACAAGTCCCTAATTTTTAAATCAAATTTGATGTATTCTGTATTCTGTCCTCTGGGTACAGTACAAACTCCTGCAAATTTTACAATCAGCATATGAGCAACCCCCAAAGACAAAAGGCACAATAAAATCATGCAATTTGAGATCACTTTGGACATTCTTTTTATTTTTCATTTACGTTTTCAGAAAAAAGTATTATCACGTAAAACAATTGTGCAAGCCTTTAAGCTTTCGTATACCAGAAACCGGAACTCAGAATCTTCTTGTAGACATGTCCATGTTCCAGAAAATGGATTTACAAAAAAGAAAACTTCAAAATTGAAACCAATCAATTTCAAACTTCAGTAAAGCTTTTGCTGATTACATCACAATCACCAACAATAAGATAATGTTTGTGTTCGTTTTAGAAAAAGGGTTTCCGGATTTTGGAAAGTACAACTACATTTCACATCAAAAATCAAAGTGTAACACTTTGTTTTTGCCCTAGCAAGAGGGAGTAACGATTAGATATGAACAAACCCAAGCATCTTTCACAAGTTATACGTTAAATGTAAGAACTTTAAGGCAAAACAAAAGCTAGTGAATATAAGAATATGCAATAAACTAAAATCTACCTACTCACAAGATATGTATCTATTCAGATCGAAAAAAGACATAGATAGAGAGACAAAAACCTTATCTGTGTATATATCCAATGAAACTGGAAAGTTAAGAGCGCAGACCAGACAAATATCGAACAAATCCAAAGAAGGAAGAAAACCCTAATAAAGAAAGGATCCTGTAGAGGAAAAAGAAATCACAAGAAAGAGGGGATATGGCGTTCTGTTTCCTTGGCTTGTTTATCTACCCATTTTATAGGAACGAAGAAGGGCTGGTGGTTAGGGGGGTTCTGGAAATCCGGATGCCTTGCAAATCTTTGTTAATATTTTCAAGAATCTGATTTTGATTTTAGGTTAATTGTTGAGGTTAAAATGATTTTGAAAATATTTGCTGTCATTCTAAAAAAATTGGGTTATTAAATTTCTAAAAATTATGTTTAATCCTAAAATTGCATAATTTTATGTGAAATATCTATACTATATTATAAAATATTTGATAAGAACTCTTAAAAATCACATTTTATGCTTAAAGTACTGTTTAATAATGCATAGTACTTAACACTCAAGATTGCAAGTAGATTATGCGCAAGTACAACTTATTAAAGCTTCATATCTGAATTCGTATAACTAACTGTAGATAAACACAATCAAATACAGGATAAAAATCGCATTTCAAATATAAAAAATCTAAAATATAATTAAGATAATCATTAAGTTCTAACAGAATACTTAATTATTATCTTTATAAAATATTATATTATTAAACCAAAAATTAATTATTTCATTATTAAACTTAAATTAAAT